TGGAGTGTGGGAGGGACCATGGAGATCAATGGAGGGGGGTGGAGGGTGGGAGGGACAATGGAGATCAATGGAGGTGGGTGAAGTGTGGGAGGGACCATTGAGATCAATAGAGAGGTATGGAGTGTGGGTGTGACCAGGCAGATCAATGGAAGTGTGAAGTGTGGGAGGGAGCATGGAAAACAATGGAGGGTAGTGGAGTGTGGTATGACCATGCAGATAAATGGAAGGGGGTGGAGTGTGGGAGGGATCATGGAGATCAATGGAGGGGGGTGTATTGTGTGAGGGACCATGGAGATCAATGGAGAGGGGAGGAGTGTGGGAGGGACCATGGAGATCCATGGAGAGGGGTGGAGTGATGGAGGGACCATGGAGGTCAATGGAGGGGAGGTGGAGTGTGGAAGGGACCTTGGAGATCAATGGAGGGGCCTGGAGTGTGGGAGGGACCATGGAGATCAATGGAGGGGGTTGAAGTGTGGGAGGGAGCATGGAGAACAATGGAGGGTGGTGGAGTGTGGGTGGGACCATGTATATCAATGGAGAGGGGTGGAGTGTGGGAGGAACCATGGAGATCGATGGAAGGGGGTGAAGGGTGAGAGGGGCCATGGAGAAAAATGGAGGGGCCTGGAGTGTGGGTGTGACCATGGAGATCAGTGGAGAGTGGTGGAGTGTGGGTGTGACCATGGAGAACAATGGAGGGCATACAGTGTTGGTGTGACCATGGAGATCAATGGAAAGGGGTAGAGTGTGGGAGGGACAATGGAGATCAATGGACGGGGTGGAGTGTGGGAGGGACCATCGAGATCAATGAAGGTGGATGGAATGAGTCAGGGACAATGGAGATCAATGTAGGTGGGTGGAGTGTGGGGGTACCATGTAAATCAATGGAGGAGGATGGAGTGTTGGAGGGACCATGGAGATCAATGGAGGAGGGTTTAGTGTGGGAGGGACAATGGAGATTAATGGAGGGTGGTAGAGTGTGGGTGTGACCATGGAGATCAATGGAAAGGGGTGGAGTGTTGGTGGGACCATTGAGAACAGTGGAGGGGTTGGAGTGTGGGTGTGACCATGGAGATCAATGGAGGGGAGTGGAGTGTGGGAGGGACCATGGAGAACAATGGGTGGGCATGGAGTGTGGGTGTGACCATGGAGATAAATGGAGGGGGTAGAGTCTGGGAGGAACCATGGAAATCAATGGACGGGGGGTGGAGTGTGGGAGGGACCATGGAGATCAATGGAGGGGGACGGAGTGTGGGTGTGACCATGGAGAACAATGGAGGGGGTGGAGTGTCGGTGGGACCTCGGAGATCAATGGAGGGGGGTGGAGTGTGAGAGGGACCATGGAGATCAATGGAGGGGCTGGAGTGTGGGTGTGACCATGAATATCAATGGAGAATGGTGGCGTGTGGGAGGGACCATGGAGATCAATGGAGGGTAGTGGAGTGTGGTATGACCATGCAGATCAATGGAGGGAGGTGGAGTGTTTGGGTGTTACCAGTTTGGGTGTGACCATGGAGATCAATGGAGGGGGGTGAAGTGTCGTTTGGCCTTGGAGATCAATGGAAAGGGGTGAAGTGTGGGTCGGACCATGGAGATCAACGGAGGGGGGTCGAGTGTGGGAGGGTCCATGGAGATCAATGGAGGTGGGTGGAGTGTGGGAGGGACCATGGAGATCGATGGAGGGGGGTGGATTGTTGGAGGCACGATGGAGATCAATGGGGAGGGATGGAGTATTGGTGGGACCACTGAGAACAGTGGAGGGGTTGGAGTGTTGGTGTGACCAAAGAGATCAAAGCATGAGGGTAGATTGTTGCAGGGACCATGGAGATCAATGGAGGGGGGAGGAGTATAGGAGGGAAAACGAAGATCATTGGAGGGGGGTGGAGTGCGGATATGACCATGGACATCAATGGAGGGGGGTGGAGTGTGGGAGGGATCATGGAGATCAATGGAGGGGAGTGGAGGGTGAGAGGGGCCATGGAGAAAAATGGAGGGGCCTGGAGTGTGGGTGTGACCATGGAGATCAGTGGAGGGTGGTGGAGTGAGGGTGTGACCATGGAGAACAATGGAGGGCATACAGTGTTGGTGTGACCATGGAGATCAATGGAAATGGGTAGAGTGTGGGAGGGACAATGGTGATCAATGGAGGTGGTGGAGTGTGGGAGGGACCCCCTTCCATCAATGAAGGGGGGTGGAATCTGTCAGGGACCATGGAGATCAATGTAGGTGGGTGGAGTGTGTGGGGGNTTCCATCAATGAAGGGGGGTGGAATCTGTCAGGGACCATGGAGATCAATGTAGGTGTGTGGAGTGTGTGGGGGACCATGTAAATCAATGGAGGAGGATGGAGTGTTGGAGGGACCATGGAGATCAATGGAGGGGGGTTTAGTGTGGGAGGGGCAATGGAGATTAATGAAGGGTGGTGGAGTGTGGGTGTGACCATGGAGATCACTGGAGAGGGTGGAGTGTTGGTGGGACCATTGAGAACAGTGGAAGGGTTGGAGTGTGGGTGTGACCGTGGAGATCAATGGAGGGGGGTGGAGTGTGGGAGGGACCATGGAGAACAATGGAGGGGAGTGGAATGTGGGAGGGGCCATGGAGAACAATCCAGGGTGGTGTTTTTTGGGAGGGACCATGAGATCAACGGAGGGGGTTGGAGTGTGGCTGTGACCATGGAGAACAATGGAGGGGGGTGGAGTGTTTGTGTAACCCTGGAGATCAATGGAGGGGGTTGGAGTCAGGGAGGGGTCATGGAGATCAATGGAGGGAGTCGGAGTGTGGGTGTGACCATGGAGAACAATGGAGGGGGTGGAGTGTCGGTGGGACCTCGGAGATCAATGGAGGGGCCTGGAGTGTGAGAGGGACCATGGAGATCAATGGAGGGGGGTGGAGTGTGGGTGTGACCATGAATATCAAAGGAGAATGGTGGAGTGTGGGAGGGACCATGGAGATCAATGGAGGGTAGTGGAGTGTGGTATGACCATGGAGATCAATGCAGGGAGGTGGAGTGTGGGAGGGATAATGGAGATCAATGGAGGGGGTTGGAGTGTGGGTGTGAACATGGAGATTAATGGAGTGGGTGCAATGTGGGAGGGACCATGGAGATGCATGGATGGGGGTGGAGTGTAAGAGGGATCATGGAGATCAATTGAGGGGGTGGAGTGTAGGAGAGATGATGGAAAACAATGGAGGGGGTTGGGTGTGGGTTTGACCATGGAGAACAATGGACAGGGGTGGAGAGTTGGTGGGACCATGGAGATCAATGGACAGGGGTGGAGTGTAGGTGGGACCATGGAGATCAATGGAGTGAGTTGGAGTGTTGCAGGGACCAAGGAGATCAATGGAGGGGAGTGACCTCCATGGTCCCTCCTACACTCCAACCCCCTCCGTTTATCTCCATTGACCATCCCACCCTCCACCCCTAGGCATTTATCTCCATGCTCACACTCACTTAATCCCCTTCCACTGTTCTTCATGGTCCCTCCCACACTTCACTCCCCTCCATTGATGTCCATGGACCCTCCCACACTCCACTCCCCTCCATTGATCTCCATGGTCCCTGCCACACTCCACGCCCCTGCATTGATCACCATGGTCCCACACACACACCAAGCCCCTCCTTTGATCTCCATGGTCAGGCCCATACTCCACGCCCTTCCATTGATCTCCTGCTCCTCCCACACTCTAACCCCCTCCATTGATTCCCATTGTCCAAACCAAATTCCACCCCCTCCTTTGATCTCCATGGTCCCACCCACACTCCAACCCCCACCATTTATCTCCATAGTGACAAGCACACTCCACCCCCTTCCACTTTTCTCCATGGCCTTCTCACATTCCACACCCCCTCCATTGATATCCATGTTCCTTCCCACACTCCATCCCCCTCCATTGATCTCCATGGTCACACCCACACTCAGTCTCCCTCCTCTGTTTCCGTGGCCCCAACCACACTCCAACCCTCTCCATTTTTCTACATGGACCCTCCCACCCTCCACCCCCCTGCATTTATCTCCATGTTCACACACTCACTTAATCCCCCTCCACTGTTCTTCATGGTCCGTCCCACACTCCACACCCCTCCTTTGATCTCCATGATCACACCCACACTCCACACCCCTCCTTTGATCTCCATGGTCCCACCCACACTGCACGCCCCTCCATTTATCTCCATACTCACTGCCACACTCCACCACCCTCCATTAATGTCCATGGTCATTCCCACACCCCACGCCTCTCGATTGATCTCAATGGTCCCTCCCACACTCCAGGGCTCTCCATTGATCTCCATAGACCCTCCCACACTCCACTCCCCTCCATTGATCTCCATGGTCACTCCCACACACCACTCCCCTGCAGTGATCACCATGGTCCCAACACACTCCACCCCCCTCCATTGATCTCCATCGTCCAAC